GGGTTGTGATCTACTGGTATGCATACCAACCCTTTGAACTTCCTTTTTCAAACAAGTAGTTCGCCCATCGAGCATTCCTTATGTTCCACATTCTTACCTTCGTTCACACATTCCTCCAAATCATGCCGAGAGAACGATTGTACCTCAAGTTTAAGGCCCAACATCGCATTTGTCACGTGCTTGCACAATCAATCAGTCACATTGATACCCGAAGGAGCTAGTATATTACTATTATTTTTCAGCCACCGGGAAGTATTCACAAGATCCTTCAACCTGAATCAAACATGCCCTTTCACCCGAGCAAACATCTCCGTAATAATCGTAGAGCCACAAGTAACACTTGACTGTCAAGCGAACATCCTAAAGTTAAACAGGAGATCACTCACACTTTATTACGCAACCAAACAATACACATCGGAATGGTCATCGACGTTTAATCATTTTCGACCTTCGTCGATATAATCAATCTTGCATTAAAAAAAACTAATCTTGGGTTTGCTTAACATCTCATAATAAGTTGCTGACGTAAATTAACTCAAAACTTTCGTTTCGACATCGTTTCTCCAAAAAAATGCGAATAGCAAGGAAGCTCCGCACCATTAAGGCAAGATCCCATTTGACAAGCTCTCGTCTAAAAGAAGGATTCAACAAGAATTTGATCAAAGAGGGCTTCAGGACAAAAAAAATACGAACATAATAAAATAATTAAGGAAATGCAAATGAACCTACTAGGTCGAACCCAACTTCGAGCCTTCTTCAACACTTTTGTTTGACCGTCATATTTTACAGTGGAGGTACCAAACTTTCACTTATCAATGAGCATTTTCCATTGTTCTACGAGCCTTTCCCCATCCTTACATACAACTCTTACTGATGAGACTTTGTTATTCACGCAAGAATCCAATATGCGGGTCAACGACAAGGAATCTACTCCTACTGTGGAGACAAAATTTATGTGACGAACAACAACCATCCTGCCCACATCCACCTTTTTCCGCATATTCTTTTTGCATCTCACGCATTTCACCGGTCTCCACTTTCTATTCCTACCATCCCGGTTTCGAGAGTGCAAATGAGGATTAACGATTCTAATCACATTTTTCTTCAACATTAGCAAATCTTCGGCATTACAACGGAATAGCGGGAGGCAGACATATGCCCTACTCTGCATTTTTGCAACCATGCATACAACGTATTATTGCGTTTACCTTGTTCTACCACAATAGGGCACAAGGTCCGGTACACGTGTTCACCCCACCGTACCTGCATCGATCTCGTAGTAGAACCTACGTACACGTGCTTTGATCACAGAAATACCAAAATATGTACCAGAGAACCATCGTATTTTCAAGATCCTCATCGCTGTTAATCACCTCTTTAAGATACGAACGAAATTTACTCGCCCACGGAACCAACCCCAACAAAATTAAACGTAGTACAATCAGGCGAAAAAATGCATTAAACATTTATCCCGAAGTTGAAAGTTCAAAGATCATTTCCCAACTTGAGAATTAGTACAGTCTTCATGAGGCAATTTAGACGAATCGTATACCCCACGGAAGAAGAAGAGGCAGTAGGAGGAGAGAAAAATGACAAAAAAAAAAAAAAGGAAAAGAAAAAGTAGAAGTATTGATATCATCAAATTCATGTCGATTTTGACAAAACTTCGCCCACCCACTACAATGAAGTCATGTCGGGGATGGATTCCTACTGCTCCATTGACCGTTCTCCTTCCGAGTTGTTGGCTCCATCCTCGTTGTTCGCCGAGTCATTGTCAATCTCCTGTATCGACACTTCTTCACTGTGTTTTTGTCGGTCCTTCTCTTTGCCTGACGCCATGTCTGCCCAATGTTCGACAAGATCCAGGATCGCCTGCTGCACTGTCACAATTTGAATCCCTGCCTCCTTACATAGCGGCTCTAGTCCTGACTTCTTGAACGTTTTCAATTGCTTCTTCTACTCCTTTATGAATGCAAAACACTCGTTCATTTCTGCCGCCTACACAACTTTTGGTGGTTGTCTTCCTGGTGTTGTGTTCTTTCATTTTCTCATCGACCTCTTCGCAACCTCATTTATTTTCGCTTAAATTAAGATTGGTCCATACCCTCACTGTTGGTTCCTCCTCACTCGCATTTAGCTTACTCATTTTATCATGCAACACTTTCAAGTCAATTTCTGCATGTGTCCGCTTCTCCTTCAAGATTTCAGCCTTCAAGTTGGTCGCCCGATAGATATCTTGTAGCTTCTTACACTCTTCTCTTCATTTGTTCACTCCTCTCATATTATTTGTCCACCGTGGTTTCGATGAACCTCGCACTAAGCAGTCTGGCGCCTCGATTGCAACGTTTCCTCTCTTGTTACCAGGGCGCAATGCTTCATTCTTCCACATGACCGCCTATTCAATAACCTTCTCGCTCCGTCCCTTGACCATCTCTAGTTACATTTTTAGCCCTACGATTTTTTGCTTGAATTTAAATCTTCACCAACGCAATATCCCGTAGTTCTTCGATTTCCTTCCTTAATACAAACACCTCATCCTCTCCGCTCTTCTTGTCTGAAACTTGCCTTCATAGCTTGGTCAACTCCTTTTGGAGCCTAGCGATCTTATCCTCCCCACTGGATGAATTTTCGCCAACCAATAGTTTTCTTAGACCTTTGTTCTCCGTATGCAATTTATCCACCTCCTCATCGACCTTTCCTTTGCCCTAGTCCTTCTTCTTATATTCCTTCTTACCATAGCTTCTTCCAGCCTCTTATCAAGCCTAGCGTTCATCTCGGCTTCTAACTTTTCTCGCTCCTTTCTCCATTCCTCCTTCCCCTCTTCTTCTTTAAACTTCTTTACCTTTTCTGCTTCTTCTTTCTACTTTACTTTTTTCTCTTCGTTCGCAACCACTTTGGCATAACATTTATCTAACCTTTCTTGGTTAGTCTTCCAAAGCCTCCTCCGTGGCAGCGTCTCTTACTTATTTGAGTATGTCGGTGACTCTGATAAGTAGGCGCCAGGGTAGGAGCAGGATTAACATAACCGCCAGCTGAAGGCAGCGCTAGCAGTGGAGGCCCGGTTGGTACCGCATTGGCGGCTTAAATAAGAGTTGACCATCGTTCTCTTAAGATAAGAAAGGYCTCCTTATCTATCGGTAGCGATATGCTTGGACGTTGGTTGACCTGATAAAGAAAGCGACTTTTGTGCAGCCCATCTCTGTCCGGCCTAGGCTCGCGATCTACGTGCTTACCCGCTGGCGAACACCATCTGTCTTATTATGTATGGTGTGCGTTAATTGAAATAGAATAGAAATGGGGCCACGCGCCAGTAGTCGGCGGTCTACCTACCCCTCGATGCGGACACTCGCGCATAAAGTGGTAAAGCGAGCCACGGTTGTAGCAGGATCGAGCAGGGAAAGAGCCCGCCATCTCAGAATCAGTTATCAAAGCAATCCACCGGTTAGAATGTAATATTCGATGACAACCCAACGAGCCACACTCAACTAGTCGAATCGCTATGGAGGTTATAACATCAAACAGATGGTGGTTATAAATAACCTCAATCAAGATGACATCAACAATTATCATGCAACCTCTGGTTGACTCTAACAGAGCATTCACACGATGACAACATGCATATCATGCAACATTCAACTAATAAACCTATATGCGATCAATCAAACCATAGGGAACACACAAAATCATCACATGTTGAGACAAATTCACACATAGACGAATGGAAATACTTCCGAAATGCTACCAATGGTTTCGAAAGAATAACAATGAAGAACAAAGCTCGAAACCTAAGCGGGCATCACGCCCGTAATCATGAATGTTTACGTCGAGTGCTGGCGGAGACCCTACTAATTTCATCCGCTCGCCAGACCCGGAAACGCTAGGGGTCAAGTCATGGCGGAGGTAAGCCCAATGTGTCATCGGCAACTATTAGTAGAAGGACAAGGACGGCAGACAAACGAGTAATAAACAACACATGGCAGTCTACTCTCCAAATTTGAGAAAGGACACAAACACAAACAAAAATTGACATAGTTTACAAAACATCGGGAGAAGCCCAACGCAAAATCATCCATTGTACACCCTTCCCGAGAGCGGAAATATAAAGGGGCACAAAAGATTCGCGTATGGTACGAGATTGCATCATATGGGCATTGAGGCCCGGTATAAGGGGAATTTCCATCTTTAAATATGGTATTAATGCAATTTGCCTTTGTTTCTTTCCTTTTTGTTGCAACTCACACTTTGGGGACCAGTGGCTGTGAGAAGCCTAGAGTTTTAGGTCTGCTCCAACAATGTTGAGGGTCCATCCACTTGTGACGAGGAGCGACACCTGTTGGCAACTGGGTCAGCGTCCCATCACACTTCACTGTAGGTGGATCGGCCCAAGGTGGGTGAATCCTTATGATGGCGCAGGCAGGCCTCTACTGTAGGTGGATGGACCAAAGGTCGATGAGCCCATATCTTGGCACAGGCAGGTCTCCACTGTCGGCGGATGGGCCCAAGGTGTGGACCCTTACCTTGGCATAGGCAAGCCTTCACCGTAGCTGGATTGGCCCAGGGTGTGGGTCATTATCTCAGTGTTGGCCCTTAGCTTGGGATGGGCCCAAGGTGGATGGGCCCTTTTCTTGGCTCAGGCAGTCCTCCCCTGTAGGTGTACGGGCCCTTATCTTGACACAGTCACCTCTCTGTGCATGGGTGGGCCTTTATCTTGGCACAGGTCAGCCTCCTCTGTAGGTGGATGGCCCCAGGTGGACGGGCCTTTACGTTGGCGCGGCCAGGCCCCTGGTGTGGGTAGATGGGCCCCAGGTGGAATGACCCTTATATTGGTGCATGCAGGCATCCAAAATCTCTTCGCACGTGCGCGGAGTGGGGGAGCTGGTTCGGGGGGCAGGTCTTTGGGGGGCTGGCTCCTCGTTGTTCCGGGTGTGCGTAGTGGTGGTGGGGGGCCTCCTTATGGTTGCGCATGGGCGTAGTTAGGGTGGCCCTCCTCGTGGTTGCGCGTGGGGGTAGTGGGGGCCTGCTCCTTGTCGTTGGGCGTAGTGAAAGGGAGGCTCCTCGTCGCCGTGCGTGGGCGTAGTGAGGGGGCCCGCCTTGTCGTCGTTGCGCGTCGGGCAGTTGGGCGGGGGCGCTCGTTGTGGTTGCGCCTGGTCGTAGTGGAGGGTTGGTCGTTTACCGACTTGTGCTCATCCCGGGATCCCGGCAGGGCAGCCATGGATTCCGCCGATGCAAGCGAGGCCGAGGCGGGTGTGACTGGCTTGGGCTTGGACTCGGGGCCCGGATATGGTGACCCCCCCTCGGAGGGAAAAAGACCCTTGTACGGAACGACTCAGGAACACTGCGAGCAAATGATCGCTCGGTCGCTGGAAAAGAGTAGGAATCACCTCCCCCTTCATCCGTTGGAAGCACTGTATGATTTTTTTGCTCATTGTCCGTTTTTTTTTTTTTTTTTTTTTTCGTTTTTCTTTTGGGCACCCTGCGCAAGGATGACACACATAAATCGAGAAATGGTTATTAAAAAAAAAAAAAAAAAAAAAAAAAAAAAAAAAAGGGGAATAGAGACCCGAAAAACAGAAAAAGAAAAAAGGGTCACGTAGAGAATGTATTAGGTTAGCTTGTGGAATGATCACTTAAAGTTGGAATTAGATCCCCCCCCCCGAAAAAAGAAAAAGAAAGTTGGAATTAGATGGACAGCCGTGATGGCTGAAGAGGGAAGCGGTATCCCGGGGGCCAAGTCCCACTAGCGCCGTTGAGTTTCCTTCCCCCCCCCCTCCTTCTGAATCCGGACGTGTTTCTGGAGATGTGCCGAAATCAACATCAACCGCGCATCTCCACAAACACGTCCACATTCAGGGGTTGAGGAAACTCAACGCTGCTACTGGGACTCGGCCCCGGGTAGAATTGTAAGGTCCTGGGCCTCGAAATGTTCTCATTTGTAGTCGAAAATATATCGAAAGAAAATCACACGAAAAGGGAGACAGAAAAGCGGGCTTACAAAAAAAAAAAAGAAGAAAAAAGAAAAAAAAAAGGAAAGAAAGAAAGAAAGAAAGAAAGAAAGAGAGAAAGAAAGAAAGAAAAACGGGCTGGTTGCCACGTCAGCAATCTTGGCGCAGCTCTTCAAGGCTTCTTCGTGCATCGAAACTTGAGGACTGTCCTTGGGGACATCCGTAAAAATTGGAACGATACAGAGAAGATTAGCATGGCCCCTGCGCAAGGATGACACAAAAAACAAACAAACAAACAAAAAAAAAAACCTTGAGGACGTATGTAGAGAGAAAAGAGGTGGTGGGTTCATTAGTAAAACATGGTCTGCAAAAGCATAGGTCCAGGGTTCGACTCCCTGCCCTTTCCTGTCATTGGCGTGCAAACCATACTTTCATGGTTTGAATCCTTGGTCTCCTGTAATTAATGTTCCTGTCTATCTATCAATCTATCAATCAATCTATCAATCAATCAATCTATCTATCTATCTATCTATCTATCTATCTATCTATTAATTCTGCAAACTATCTATCTATTCTATCTATCTGTCTACCCATCTATCAATCATTATAATAGATCTATCTATCTTATCTATCTATTTGTCTCTCACGATCTGTTCTATATATCGATCTATCTTATCTATCTATGAATCTCTCTCTCTCTCTCTCTCTCTCTCTCTCTCTCTCTCTCTCTCTCTCTCTGTGTACCGTGATAGAGAATTGCCCGCGTGAAACAATCAAATCAAACAAGATGGATTTTGGGCATGATCCCTGGGGCAACTTCCATCTTTTCCTGTCGTTAGCGTACAGCTCCCCAGTGAATCTTTGTGTTATTTTGTATTCACTACATATCTATCTATGTATGTATGTATCTATCAGACAGCTCCTCGTTTCTTGTCCTTTCCTCTCCCTCTGCCTACGGTTCACCGGGCATTGCTCTGTGACGTTGACCATATATATATGTATATACTATCAAAATCAAATGAGGTGAAATGAGATGAAATGAAATCAAATCAAATCAAACAAGGAGGATTTTGGGCATGACCCCTGGGGCAAGATCAAGACTCGTTTGAATTGGATTCTTCATTCTGGACCGTAGATTACAAGAAGGATCAATTAAAAAAAGAGACCGAATCTGGTAGGCAAGTGAGACCAGATTCGAGACGCACGAATCGGGAAAACAGTCGAGGGCATGGCACACCCACATACACACCTACACCTACACCTACACACACCCACACACCTACACACCCACATACACACCTACACCTACACCTACACACACCCACACACCTACACACACACCTACACACACACCTACACACGTACACACACATTGAAAATGACGACACACAACCACAAGAACGCACACACAGAAATTCATACTTTCTCTTATCCGTGACCATTCTCCATCTCCATCTCCTCCTCCTCCTCCTCCTCCTCCTCTCCGTTCCCACCCTTCTTCCCTCTCCTGAGTTGTTGCGGCCATGTCTCTCTCTCTCTCCTCTTGCTGTGGAGGTGGAGTGTGTTTCATTCCCCATCTTCGCTTGTTTGGATCGCTCACCGCCTTCCATGGGGATAAGCCTCCTTTCTTATCTGATCTGATCTGACAGATGCCTCCAGGGTTCAATCTCGTGATATGTTGCCTACCGCTCAGCCACATGGGTGGGCTTTAGCGATGCCTATGGGTCTGGGTTAACGATTGGTGGGGGGTGGGGAGGGGGGGAGAGGGAGCCTCTGGCGTTGCGAGTGGCATCCTTTTTTTTCTCCCTCATCAAATTCTCTGGAAGGGGGCAACACGCTTCTACCGGTGGTATAGTCAATCAATAAATACTACATAATAAATTCCTTTATTTATGGATCATGGTTTTGGATAAGGTTTTGGATAAGGTTTTGGATTTTTTTTTTTTTTTTTTTTGGATAAATGCCATATTAAATGGATGAATAGCAATGGCGGCGAACTCTATAATGCCTTGTTCCGGAAGAACAAAAGTCCGTTTTTTTTTTGTTTTTTTTTTTTCGGTCTCTGTGTGTGTGTGTGTTTTGTGGGTTGTGGAGGACAACTTTTTCGTTCCTCGTAGTAAACGTACACGTAAGCTCTGGGTTTAGGGTTTTCGTTTTGTTCTTATCAATAAGTTTAACAGGTTGATCTGCACAAACTTCATCTTGAAGTTAAAAAAAAATATCGTAAACCTGTTATAGTATTATGGCTGGGCGGTCTGAACGACCCCCCCCCTTTTTAGGGGGAGACACAGAAAATGGCGACCAGGAACTTGATCTACACAAAAAAAAACCGTTTATCCACACCACAGGTTTATCCACAGGTTTAGTGCGTACCGTCATCCCCCGAACACAACGCATCCTCCTAACAAATGTACACAAGCTACTTTCCGGTCCGGTGCAGTCAAAATGAGGCCCCGCGTTGTGTTCGAGAGAAGACAAGACGGTGGTTGCACCACTCGCCATCCGCCGACATTTTGAATGTATCAGGTTTTTATGGCCTGCTCCTTCCCCCACCCCCACCCCCTCTCCCT